TATCTCTGTTAGTCTACTTAGAAATGCATCCAGATGCGCGTGATGTAAACCAATGAAGAGCGGAATAGTCAGTTGAATATTCAATGAAATGTTACGTAAAAGTTCATCGAGCTGTGCCGACGATTTTCCAATCCCGTGTCATTCGTTGATCATGTCAATCGTCCAAATTGCATCTATTTTTCCTAGCTGAACATCAATGTTAAAGGGCAAACAGCAAAGATAACTGTATATAAATTAGATGGGAATGATAGCCGAATGGTTTGACTTTGTAAACAGGATGAATTCTGTGTATTCGCTTGATAAACGTTAAAGATTCAGACATTCCAGTACAGCTGCAGTCTTTTGAATGCAGCTATGTTTTGTGTGCGAGGTGAACTGTATTTCATGGAATACTCATGCATTACTAATGACAATAAAAGTTCAGCCTGAATGTGTTTATCAACAGAGGTACGCGGAATGAACTCGTATTCAACTCTTATTTGTTGAACTCCTAAAAAATATTCTTTCAGTCATATCCGATCGCTTCAAATATGAAGGCTGGCTGGGGATATAAAGACCTGAGAAGTGCCTTGAGGACCTCAAATTTTTCTTAGCTGAAGCTGGATGTGTGAATAGATGATTACAACTAAAACATCTGCCTTGAATGCACAATGAAAGTGATAATGAACATTGAGGATTGCTTCGAAAAATTAACAATTTAATCAAAGTGTGGGCCTGTTATATTTGAGTAATTTATTTTCATATTACGTCTGTTCTAAAAGATAGAGATTAAATGGCATTAATAAGTATTCTCGTATTCACGTGATCAGAATAATTCGAGAGATTAATTACCGAAGTTCAAGGAATATTTTTTTCTCTCATAACATCGCTAAAACATTGACGTGCAACTCGTTGCGTGTTAATTTAATTGAATTATCCACGTTAAATATCGCTTCAAATCTTTATTCTTGGTAACTGCTCTCCGATTTCAATTTTTTAGCATATCTTCAACGATGAATTATAAATACTTAAAGTTATTAATCGCTTTAGTTGTTTGAGGTTCTTGACTAATGCTGCAGTGCAGTAAAGGCGATCGCTGGTTGTGGCCCATGCGATCTTGAGGTTATCCACCTCTAGATGCAAGATTATCCTCACAGAACATATTCGTCGATAACAAAACCACATAGCTTTTTTGAATATTTTACTGTTTAGATCAATTTAAACAATAATAATGAATGACAGGAACACAACTAGACTACTTAACTTTTCAAAGTTTGAATCACGTTTCACCCAAACAGTTTTGCACACATCTGACTAACAATCGAGACCGACAGCAGTAAAAGCGAAATAAAGTCTTACACATGAATGCAATATAAATGAAGCTCTTATTCTTCACAGAGAACAGATTTTCAGAGACTTTACGAACAACCATTAAGAGCACATAAACGGAAACGAACACGGATATGAAAGGACAGCTACTGCTGTGGATATATGTTTCGGAACACTTCATTGAAGTGCTTTGGTTTCATCAACAAACAGGATAATTTAGTAGAGAATAAGCACAGAAATTAACTATATCTATTAAGTGACACTGGAATGACCTAGAATTCAGAAAAACAGATGCGAATATATACGAACAGCCATATCGAGTGATTTGACCGAGAGAATGTTTGTAAGAGAAGGATTATGCATGAGAAGGAATGCTTCAACACTAATGGAAATTCTTTGTTCGGAACAAATTGCAGAGTTCATCGACGAGTGCTTCATGTCTAAACGAAACGCGAATATCAGGTACATTTGTTCGTGATACGTCATTGCCGAGCACTCCTTCCTCTCTGTAGTTCGGCCCCAACCAATGAATCTTCACCTGAACAATCATNATATTCAAATGAATCGTTTACAACTCGCAGTTAGTCATATGCATTATGCATTCAAATGCATCAAACAAACGTAAATCAACCTTATCTTCGAATCCACTCTGCAGCACACTATTCCTTGCCAATTCACACATATCACAACTGCTCAACTTCCAAACTTGTGCCGCGATACTGTACTCTTCCATTAATGCCTCCTGTATTGTTCATTCCATTGAGTCATATCAATCGTCCATAAGATTATGAGTTTGTTCATTCAATGGCACAATTAAACAAGGCACTTTTTACGAGAATTTCAATCAATGTTACGAAAAAAGACGAAAATAATTTTCATTGGACACTGAGAAACGTTTCTTTCTCAACACCTTGAAACATCAAAAATAACAGAAATGTGTACCTTAGTGAAATGGAACTGCAATGGATCGTCGGTGGAAAGTGATACATTGAGACCTTTCATATGAAAATCGGGTAATGGATTACGATAGTAGCTGATGAATAGGGAATTATTGCTGAGCGGTGACATCGCAATTCCAATTTGAGTTAAATAGAAGAGATATTGAAGAACGGGAACCTTAACGAATTATCTGACAATGAGTATTCAAATGGTCACAAAGAAAGTATGCTAACGCAATTTTCATGGCTTTGACATGGCTTCTTCTTGCAGCCAACTACCTACAAATATCCAAATAGCCTCCTCACATGCCTTACAACAAAACTATCGAAAACTCAAATCCTTCTGTTTCAGTGTTCAATTTTCATGTCTTTCCTCTTCCTTTTGTGTCCTTCAGGCACTCTTAAAGAGATCGCTTATTCCACAAATTTGCCAGTTACGATTACGAGAAATAAGAATTCAAGTTGCTGAATCGAAACGAAAAAAAAACAAGTTGCGAAAAGGAAACAATTCACATACTTTGCGCAATAAAAGTCCATGTGCAATACTCTCACTGAGAAGATAACCCGCAATTAAATGATTCACATGACCTGCTTCACCACAATGAGGTCGCAGCGAAAATGTGTTCAGACCTCGCTCTCTGTTAAAAATGAATAATGCACATTCTTTGACTTAACATTCAAACTCGATTTCGGTGAATCGAAAATATTACACTCGTTCAGATCATTTGTTATCATAAAAAGAAAAATCTTATTATATCCACTGAATCGAAAATACATTTGCTGCTTTCAGTTAGTCTAAATTGCATCTCAAGCGGTCGAAAACATAAAACTGAACGCTCTTATTATTAGACATTAAACTGTTGCATACTACTTTACAAAACAAACGCTCACAGAATATCATAAACGACCTACCTCCGCAATGAGTTCAAAGCTGTCAAATTCGCATACATATAATACAGATAATATTTATACGGTGGATTCTCTGGATCGGTATACCGATCCGGAGATGGTGTCGAACGGTCGAACTGAAAATAACTATTTTTATTGGGAGAGCGAAAGTCGCTAGTTGATTATAAAGCAGCATCGCATAATTATCGACAATTCCAACTCGTGTCAATGAATTATTATTCTTGTTCTGATTAAAATGAAATAAATTCCACTACTTGAACACTATGCTTAGATAGACTCACATTTACATGTTCATGTTTACTTTCGTCGTCGACTGAATCGAAACCAGAGATTTGCTGAAGGAATCTGAACAAGTCAGGATGCGTTTCAGGATCATTGCTCACTTCAAACAGTGGTGTGAACACATTGTCCAGAAATTCGTCGAAGCTTTTCACCATATTTCTCGACCGATAAACATCACTTCAATAGAGTAGTTGAATTTGTATGAATTCAGTTATTAACTGTGTTGTTAAAGGAAAACCAAATATATCACACACAAAACAAGACGTAAAAGCAATGAGAAAGGGAAAACGAATTGAAGCTCGGAAAGAATCCGAAAGGAAAGATGAATCTGACGGAAGGAAAACGGCGAAAAACTGGAACAAGAACGAACTAAAGTCGTGGTACTTGGATGAGATATCGAGAGTTCGCAGAATAAACATCATTCGAGATAGCCCATTTGGCCAGTGCGTCCCATTCGCCGCGACTATGACCATAAATTGACAGACGTGGTTCAGCATGCTGATACTTACTGTCCTCCAAGTCCGACAGCACCTCCTCAAATTCGAATGTATTCCCAAATGTTATCACCGAAATTTGTTCAACCAATTCACAGAGTGCTAATCAATTCTTTGGTGACATTTCAATTATTAAAGATTGTTATGAGTACGATTTGAGCACTTGCATGGTATCAAATTTATCTCAAATTGCACTATATTTGCAGGAGACGCATCTTTCTTCAGTGGCTTGCAAGGCAAACAATTTGAAAGGTGACTCGGTGGTCACAGACTAAGCTCTACCCTTCTGTACCCATAACAAACCACCACTTCAGCAATATCACTTTACAAACTAAGGAAGAATGAAAAATTAAAGCAAACAATTTACATACTTTCAGTACTTCAGCGAAATATTTCCCACCTACGAAATTGTTGGTCTTGATGAAGATCTCTCTGAGAGTACTCTCTCCAACCGGATTGTACTTGGTGTTGAATTTGTCAAAACGATGAAAAGTGTTGCGATCTGCATGCACATCCAACATGTCCACTGATAAATCATAGGCGTTAATACCTAATCCTTGGAATACTTCCGCCAAAGTGATCCTTTTACCGTTCTACAAAAATGACATTGAATCGTGTGTAAATTGAATTCGGTGCTTGAAATTCAAGAAAAAAAACTGAATGATGCCGATTCAAAAGATAGAGTTGAGAACGATGAGTGAACAAACGAAAATGCATATCGAATTTCTGCTGTTGAATTCAAATGACGATACAAGAATACATCAATGCATTTAATTTATCGCACGCAAATAATTTAGTTAATGTTTACCTTCTCCAAAACTACTGTATCCTTTTCAGTTTTCATCTTTTTCTTTATGAATCGCAGCAGATGTTTCTGATTCATTGAACTTGCAGCGTGGATGTGAGTGTCAACCTGAATTACGAGTGCAAAATGAGTTTGTTTGATGAAATGCAAACGATATCTGTTGAGTTGTTGGTAATGTGAACATCGTGAAACGGTCAATTCTCCATTACAAATGTGCCGCAGTGATGCCGAATATGGTACTGATTTGTCAACAAATTGCAAAAACTTGAAATACACAGTGAGATAAATTGAATTATACAGTTTGCACAATCAATCACTGGAATGGGTGAGCCTTTAACAACTTCCACTTACATCATATCGTATATGCTACATTACCTTTCTAATATTGTAAAAGTCCCTGTGCGGAACAGACTTTTGTTCGTGAAGTTCAAGCAGTTCATTCAAAAGAGTATGTAGCTGGAACTTATTCTGCAAAAAACTGAGTCGCCGGAAGCAAAAGCTTTTCCTGAAATAAAAGTGAGTGGGAAAAGCAAACTTTAACTGTATGTTATTATGAAGTGATTTAACACTATGGCTCTATGATTTTAATTACAGATGTTCTTTTTTTGCAAAAATGCACTTAGCACTTTCATTGAATAATGAAATTTGACTGTATGCACAATTAAAGTCGTCCTCGCGAAACCCTTACAAAAGAGCGATCAATTCAATACGCTTACAACGGTCCATTAGCAACCATATCCGTGAGGCGATCTGTATCGCGTAAGTACTTCTCTCTGGGGATGTAATATCTCGCAAACTTCTCAGCAATTTCTCCTTTCTCGTTCAGTATTTCCACCTCAAAATTGAATCCTTTTCAACAACGCATTTCAATAACAAAACAACATTGAGTTGTATTGTAATTCTTCGAGAAACCAGGAATGATCTCATTCTGAAGAATGATGTTTAGCCATTTAGCCACTTATTTGTATCGGTACGATTGATTAGCATCAATATTGACGTTTATGTGCGTACACGTTTCTGATTAAGCACACAATTTTGGGAGATTTTCCTCGATTTGTTCAAGCTATAAAATACTGCATCGATGTAATGTTCATCGTTTCAATTGTACACTGTACCGTTGTCCATAAACGCATCTTCCAATAGACAACTAATCTTAATCAGATGACGATCTCGCTCAAATTTCATAAGAGTGCACTACTCACAACGCCATTTCTTCGCTTCAGTTCATAAATGGTTTTGTATTTTGGCAATGGAGTATGCAGTCCCCAGTGATCCTCTGGTGGTTCGGGTGGATTGAACGAAGTTTGCGCGGCTGAAAAGGAATAAATGAATTTTTAAAGTGAATTGATTAGATAAAGAAAAGCATTCTCTCGCATGCGTGCCATAAGGAGAAATGAAATTAACATTACTTCCGACAGCAACTATTGTTAATGATATTATCAACTTAACGTGATACAATTAATACTACATAATTCAATAACATACTATCTAGCACACGAATTATCCACTGGAAACTGTTAGTAGACTGCACTTCCGAGGGAGTTCTTATAAAGTCATTTATGATTATAATGAGGTATGGTTAGAGACTGACACATATAACAGTAATTATTTCTCACAACCAGAATAATTGGAAAGATTCAAAACTGCACTTGAGTTTGTATGGACTGTTGAAATTTAATGACTTCAACAATAACTGTCAGTGAAACGCAGCGATGGGATCAGGAGCACACATCAGAAACAATCACCTTTCTGACTGATAACACCGTACTTAGAATTATTGGGGTCTAGCAGGCATATTCTTGAGAGTAATTTAACTCAACCGCTTTCAGATTTAAAAAAAAAACCACTGAAACACAGTGCTATGAATGTTTCGAGCGTACATGTAAGAAAAATGTCAACGAGTGTTATGAACTGAAATCGCAATATATTACCACTGAACTGGACCACTGAAATTCAGCGCAAAACACAAGGATTTTGAATGATAATCACGTTATCAGAAGTTTTCATGTATGAACACATGAGACGTTAACAAGATTATTTCGTTCGATTCACATCAGAACACAAATCACAGTCATTGGTTAGGATTACTTCATGCGATTAACAAGTAATCACTACATATTTTAGTTCACTTTTCACTACTCTTCTACTTTTAATTCACTTATGTAATATCATTGGAACCTTTTTCATTGCTGCGATCAGATTCTGAATTCGATACGACTAGTTGCGTAGCTGAGATCACGTTTGTATGAAGTGCTGGTGGTTTCTCTTAAAACTGCTTCTTTATTCTTCTCGTTACATTAAGTGAATTCATGTTGAACTTAACGCATGTCCTCTGAGGAGGAAACTCAGATTCATGAAATCTGCTTTGGAGACGAATTCGCGTATGAATGCAATATGTCGAGATCACACCAGCGCGGGACACATGCTTGCAACATCTCGATTTCGATTCACGCTGGTTATTGAGGATGTATACGATGGAAATTGAAGATATCAGAATGAGCGGTAAAATCAGCCACTTTCTCGCTTTGTGGTAAATGAGACGCAAACTGTCAAGGTTCACGTAAATACGATAAGAAATAAATCTTGCACGAGAACAGTGCTGTATTGCCACTCTAACAACTATCCTATTCATGACAGAATCAGCACAATCTCACTGAGCGATAGAAGTTGACTTCATGTGGCGACTGTTAGATATCTTCTACACATTTTCGGCAATATTTGAACATGCTGCATGAATGTATCGCTTGCTGAATACAGTTCTGTGATAAGAATAGTGCTAGTTCACATGGAATATCGAGATTGTGATGCGTCGTGCGATTCGTTATCACAAATGCATTGAAAGATTGATTTAAAAAGAATATCAACAAAGCAAATTCTAAACCCACACATCATAACGACTTTGCAGCAAACGTAAATTTGTCAACAATTCTGTCGAATGAAAGATTTTCGGTGATAAGCTAGAAACAGAAAATAAACAGAGAAATTGATGGCAGGCCATTAGAATAGAGAAGAGTGCACGTTTCGGTCGGGCCTCCAACCGAACGCTCGAATAATGTGTGTAAAATCGTGCATAAAAGATGTGCGCTTGTGTTCAGCAATACTAAAAAAAACCTACAAGCAATTCCACCTGAACTTGTTTAGGATTGGATACAACATGATTATTATTTGCCTTCGTTTGATTCTATTTAAAACAAAACTATTACAAACAGATATTCTGTCGTATTGAGCTGTCTCACCGTTAGTGGAATGATCCGTGACAAGTGGATTTTTAAACGAGAAAGACTTATGAAATGAGAAGTACTGAACGAACGGGTCGTTAATTTATCATGGAACGAAAGATATACGTAACTGGAAAGAAGTGTGGATCCTTATTTCCACACAGCATGAAATCGCTCAAAACAGACCATGAATCATTATTTTGAGTATTTTCAAATCTCGTTCAGTTGTAAATGCAATAAACATAAACATTCTCGTTCGATAACGTTTGGTAATTTGAGCGCTAGAAAACTGATCACATTGTTGATCACCTAAGCAGGTTATAGTGAGAGAGCATCACCGAGGCGATATGATAGGCATTATTTCATCTATTGCTGCGAATCTTTGCAACCGAAAACGATTTTGCAGTATATTGAAATTCTCGATCGATTACTGATAAGTTAAGAAAGTGAACAGCAAACTGACTCATTTCAGTATTTTTGCGGCGACTTCTTGGTAAATTCTGTGGATAATAACCGGAAAGAAAACGCTTCGTGGTGACAGGAAATTTATTCCCCACCAGTTCCATGTACTCCTCGCGGAGATGAAGTGCGTCGATCAATTCCTTGGCTGCGTTCTTGAGATCCTCGAGTGGCAGCTGAACTTTTACGACGAGAGTTATGGTACGCTTGTTCAAAATCAAAGTATCATTTGGATGAAAAAACCAAAAAACGTATCAATTAATTGATTT